GCAAAATGGTACTCTGAATGGGAGAATACGAAGCCACAGACCAAAAACTTTTACAGAATGAGTCAGTGGAAGAATTCTTCGGGAAAAACCTGGGGAAGAATGGCATGCAGATGGTCTGTGCCTAGCTGCTCCTGTGTGTTTGGCTGAGGCAGAACTTCAACACCTCATTCTTCCTGTCTCAGTCTCCAGTGTCTAGAACGCTAGGCTCACTGGCCTATGCCACCATCCATCTCTGGATTTTTCAGTTATCCGAATCAACATCTTATGACCGGCATTTCTTGTTGTGTTCAGTAGCACAAAATGGAAGGAAATTCATTGAAAGGAGACTTAACATCTAAATGTGGACTGCAAGTCTAGAGTGTTCTTACTGCCCCCCCCCCCCCCCCCCCCGCCTGTTAGCCAATGCAATGTAGGAGTGCACCGGGAAGACTTCCCTGACTTCTCTGGCCCTCATGAAGCGTCCTTATGCCTTACTTCACAGCTGCTCTTCCTGGCTGGGAAGAACATTTCGAAGCCTATTATGTGATCTATGGCAGCTCTGTTCTCTTATGCTAAGACCCAGTGTCTCTACTTGAAAACAGGTTAGGGAAGGAGCTAGCGTAGGCCAACTTTGCCTAGATTTAATGGAGTAACAGGTGGACAAGCCTGATAGACATTCTGAAAGCAGTGTTGCAATACCAGACAGCCCAGCGTTAGCAATTTCATAGCAGAACTCTGGAGACTACAGAAATCGGACACGCACAGTTGTTTCTGCCCCCCCCCCAACCAGACATTAGAGCTAGCTGATTTAGTGAAACAGACCAGTTCATCCACATGCATTTAACCATGTTTCCCAACAAAACACTTAAGGGATTAAAAAGAGCCTTACTTCTTCCCTTAACCTAATAATATAGCTAAGCAAGTTTCTTCATCAATGACGGTAGCTCATACACAGGCAGAGCTATTCTCCACTGACTTCTCAGTAGTACAGAAAGATGGGTTCTAACCTTCACAGACACTCCATCAGGGTGCCATATGCCATCAGAGCTTTATATTTTCTGAGCTGACAGCCACAGTTCAGGTCTCTTCTGACACAGATTGGCTAACCTTATTACCACCATATCTGAAAGCCACCCTGCACAGGAGGGTACATGGCATGTGCAGGCTATATAGTCAATAAGCAGGAGGTAATGAGGACTACTAACTAAAAGGGACTGATAAAAAGCTACAGGTCAAATGGACCTGCCACACCTACTGTAAATGCTACATGAATTATTTCAGTGTACTACAAAACTTTCCAGTAAGCCGCTAATGCACAAATGAACGGAAATAAGAGTGCCCAACACCTCAAGATACACCTGAGGTATACTTCAGCCACCAGTACAATCTTCATTACAAGCAGATCTCAAGCCAGGCAATGGTGGCGCACACCTTTGATCGCAGCACTTGAGAGGCAGAGGCAGGTGGAGCTCTGTGAGTTCAAGGCCAGCCTGGTCTACAAAGCAAGTTCTAGGACAGCTAAGACTGTTACACAGAGAAATACTGTCTCAAAATGCCTACCCCTCACACACACACAAAGAGAGAGAGAGAGAGACAGAGAGAGAGAGAGAGAGAGTAAGGACACCTTTCATAAACTTACAAATATTTCACATGGTTGAACATCTAAAGAAATATTAATAGAATTATTCCAAGGGTATGGTATTTATGTGTGTACATGTTTGTGTGGGTTGATGTGTATGTCATGTGGGAGGGTGTGTGTGTGTATGTGTGTGTGTGTGTGTGTGTGTGTGAGAGAGAGAGAGAGAGAGAGAGAGAGAGAGAGAGAGAGAGAGAAACCGGACATCACTGTTAGGTGTCTTCTTTTGTTACTGTCTATGTGGTCTCTCAATACTCATCAGGCTAGACTGACCAACCAGGGAGTCCCAGTGATCCCCTGGCAAGCAGTTTGCAGACTGAGTGATCTTCCCATCCTCAGATTAACTTTTTAGTCTTATATCCTAACCCTCTTTATTACTAATTTTAAGAAACACATGGCCTTCCACATTAAGAGCCTAAATGGAGAAGCTTTCAAACACACTTTTCTTAGGAAAATGGTAGGTGCCATAGATTTAGTGACACGTCCTTCTGACCAACTTCTTTTCAGGCCTCACAAAAGTAGTGTCCCAACATCAGGGAGGTCAGAAGCACCAGCGTGCCTTTTAACAAGCAAAGCTCTATGCTCTTGTGGACCTGCAGGGTCAGAATTCTTGGAGTAGGCATTAAAACCCTGCATGTTTATCAGATTCTCTCTTGGGCTTAGAGCTGAGGGCATCAGGGTTACAGCCCACCAACCCACACAGAGAAATAAAAAAGAAAACCAAGGCAGGTCTAAAACAAAATAATGCAGAGTCCAGTTCATACGACAGGAATTTTCATTCTTTTTTGCACAACAAATGGAAATGGGGGCTGGCTATCTCTGGGCCAGGTGTGCCAGGTAGAAGGGGAAAAGACAGGCAGTAACCCTGGAAGGAAAGAGAAAAGATAAAAGAACTCCAGTTTGCAATGGTTAAAACCGATTATTCGAGCTTAAATTGTCCACATGCTTTCTTCCCTTCTACAAAGCAGATTATTTTTGTTTTGTTTTGTTTTGTTTTTGTTTAAAAATCTAATAGCCACTTGAAAAACTAAAATGGTGGTTAGCTTTCTGGAACCCAGGACATAAAAACAGTGCAGCCTTTAGAACTCTACAGCTGTTTTAAATGCCTTACTTAACCTTACACCATATGCCATTAAGGGAAAGCTGGACAGACAACGAAAAACCATGACAAAGGGGCAGCAAGATGGTTCCGCAGGTAAGTGTGCTTGCTGACAAGCCTGACAACCTGAGTTCAAGTCCCACAAAGAAAACCAGATCCTACAAGTTGTCCCTTTATCGCCAAACATGAACCACTGCACGGGTATTCCTCCTATCCCCTACATATGAAAGACACAAAGATGAAAATAAACTTCTTTTAAAAAAAATGACAAAAAATTAAAAAAAATACACTTTAATTATAGGAAGAACAAAACAGGGTATGGACATTTCAGTTTACACACTGCTGGTGTTTTGTTTTGCCTTTGTTTTTTAAGAAAGAAAACAAGAAGAAAGGGAGGCATAAATTTACACCCTGTGTGGTGGGGTTGTCATTTCCTGTAACTACATTCTACTTGACAAAGATTTACAGCATCTTCATCTCGAGTCTCAGGGCTCCCCTACGGACACTTCATGTACCACTTACACATTAGGTCAAACGTAAAACTGAAGCACACCAAGGTACACACACACACACCAGCAGCCAAACAAACCACCTCTGAGAAGTGCTTGAACAGAGTGCTTCCATCTGCCAAGACAAGAAGGCTGGTGAGCAGCCATTGGCACAGAAAGAAGCCACAAAGGGAAAAAAAAAAAAAAAAAAAAAAAAAACATTATCAGCCAAAACAATTTTACAAGCTCCTATTTTTATTGCCTAATGCCCTTCAAAACTCAGAGACCACTAATTGCAGGTAATGCATGGTGCCATTAGTTACCAGCTGATCCCAAAGCACTACCTTAACAAGCCTGGCGGAGACTCATTGTTAAGGATGCTCATGCATCATTCTAACTAACACAAGATGCTCAACTGCCTACCAAGGGAGGGAGTGGAGGGCACCTCCACAGAGAATGTGACACTGAGAGTTTGTGACTCTCATTCTGGTCCACATAATTTCATCATTCTGTGGCTCCCCATCTCCACAACCACAGAGACACAGAAAGTTACTGACTGGAGGAATTTTATCTTGCTGTGTATATGATTTCTTCCTACAAAGAAGGGTTGCTTTTAATATGTAGAAAATACATATTAAGAATCTGGGAAACGACCCTAATCACTTGCATAAAACTAAAAACCTAGTAAACTGTCAGAGAAATCACCAGACTAGAAAGAACCTCCCAGAAACAGTGAAGTATAACAGGGCAAGTAAGGCTAACTTACCCATTCCGCCACTTTCCTGTTTAGTGGCAATGGGAAGGTTACTAACTTCATTTTCTGCATTAAATGGAGATCTCTCTGTGCTCTCCAATGTGTAGCATGAGTAACAATGTTTCCAAAGTCTTGGAAAATGGATCAGTCTATCCTGGTCCCGCCAGGACCTCACAGGCCCGGGGATCAGCCATTATCACCCAATTTTACTTATTATTTTACGAAATGTATGTTTTAATCCGTAGAATTTAAGAAGTAGTAACAGGACACATGTGAGTTGTGAAAAGAAAATATGCGCATGAAAATACTGGGTAAACGTAGATAGTAAAAGATACAAATTAGTGACTTGGTATCCATGCATTTCTGACAAAAAAAGAAACAGGGCAAAAGTTGTATCAGATGGTTCTGTGTTTTAGGAAGTAATTATGTAAGTTGAGGCTGACGACTTCCAGAAAGTTACAGCTGAACATATTAACCTCAAATCGTCCAACTGTCACTCATTATTTTGGTATATAAGTGCACTTAACATCGAGCATACTACAGCTATGAACACCGCGGGGGGGGGGAGATAAATAAAATGAAATAAAATAAAACAGGGCTCATCAAAGACGTAGGACACCAAAATGGGCTAGCTTGCAAAAAAAAAAAAAAAAAAAAAAAAAAAGAGAGAGAGAGAGAGAGAGAGACTGTGGCTTCAGTTTGGCAGAGACGTAAACTTTACGAGTGAGTCAAGACCGCCCAGCACGGAGTTCAAGTCCAGCATGCAAGTCCCATCCCATGCCGTTCTCAGGCAACGCTCAACCTGCGCGATTCCGACCGCCAGGGGCAAACCCCGGCTTCCAGGTGCAGCTCGAACCCGGGGACGGCCGCGACCGCGCGCCAGGTGCAGACGCCGCTGTGCGGGCCGCGATGATCGCACGCCCGGGCCCCGAAGCAGCTGCGACCCGCGTCGGGATGCGAGACAGCCAGCGTGTTGCTCCGCTCCTGCCACCGCTCGCCCAGCCGCGCCCAAGCCCGCCGCCGCCTACCAGCCCCGAGCCTCACCCGCCAGCGGCCGCGCCGCCGTCAGTCCTGTCGGAGGCCGACGGGAGCCTCCGCCGCCGCCGCCGCCCCTCGCTCGCGCCCCGGCCTCCTGCGGCTCCTCCCGCTTCGCTGCGCGATCGCCCGCACCTAGGAGGAAGCCAGCTCGCCCCAGGCCGCCTCCCACGCTTCCCGCAGCGGCCAATGGGCCCTGCCGCCGCGCAGCCGCGCACGCCCTCTGGCGGTGGAGGACCGAGCCTACGCGGTGGGGGGGGGGAGGACTGGGGAAGGAAGGGCCGCCGCCGCCACGCTCCCGGGTCGCCTCTGCGACTCCTGGCCTGAATTGCTCAATCCGAGCTTGCCACGTGGGAGCTGCTGCGTCCGCAGCCAGGGGTTGAGTGGCACCCCGGGAGGAGGGGAAACGTGTCGCAGCCTCCGCCCTTAAATCTCACGCACAGAATCCCAACCTTTCAGGAGGCAATTTGAAATGACCAGTCCCTTCCTAGACTTGTATCAGACTAGGACCATCGGGAATCTTCACTTGACTCCTAGAAACTGATCATAAGAATAATCCTACTGGCAGGAGCCAAGGAAGTGTACAGCCCTGAATGATCTATCAAGGAAAAGGGGTACTACTTGCATTTTGCATGCCAGTTTCTTTTTTCAAATTACTAGCAATATGACAACTTTTTTTTTCCTCAGTTGTTCAGAACTTTATCTTTTGCAAGTTTGTATGGGTAACTAGGAAATTAACACGAACTTTAGGATACACAACCTGAGAGCACAATATTATTTCATGTTTCAAATTCATATCTGAATAATTAATGACTATTAATTCTTATTTCTTGGGGAAATTTTATGGTAGAATAATTTATGGTAGCAAAATTTAAATTGCAATAAAGTAGTAGGGTATGACTTTAGCAATTATCATATTTTAGCTTTCCTCCCAAAACACAAAACACACAACCTAAAGAAGAGTTATGAATTCTGATGCTGATGACCCAGGAAAGGTAAGGAAACAGAAAAGCTGAGCACCTTCTAAATACCCAACACTTCTAGGTCTTTCTCAGTTCTATGGCTGTGAAGAGACACCATGACCAATGCAGCTCCTGTAAAGAGAAAGCATTTAATTTTGGGCTTGCTTACACTTTCAGAGCGTTAGTCCATAATTATTACAGTGGGAAGCAGACAGGCATCATCGACCTGGTACGGCAGCAAACAACTTTACATCCTGACCCATGGGCAAGAGAACAAGGGACATTGCAGGGCCGAACAAGGGACATTGCAGGGCCAGGCAAGGTCTTTTGAAACCTCAAGGCCCACCCCTAGTGACACACCTCCTCCAACAAAGTTATACCTCGTAATTCTTCCCAAACAGTTCCGCTAACTGGTGACTAAGCATTCAAATATAAGACCCTATGGAGGAGAGGTGGCATTCTCATTCAAGCCATCACTGTCTTAATGTATATGTCCTCATGTTTAGTCAAAGTAGAAATCTATGAGTTACTTTAATGAATCAATGAACCAAGCTTTAAAAATCACTTGCTTAAAAAGTAAGTTGTGAATTTGGACTTCCATTTGATTCCACCCAGCCACAAACAAGAAAGCATTTAGCTTTTACTGTATCAAAAAATGGTGACAATGTATACATGCCATCCCTCTAGTTCCTATATCCCACTGGAAGAATTTATGAAGCCTCTTGAGTAGGAATTTCCTGTTTGGGAATGAGCTTTTTCCTCCATTACTTAACAGACTAGTAAGGAAACTTTATTTGTCAACATCCTTACAACACCAGTCTTGAAGCAATGAGTGTTCCTAAAATCTGTTTGCTCTCCTATTCCCAACACACAATAAGTCATAGCTCAGAATCCTTCTAGTCAACAACAAAATTAACAATACTGTCATAAGCAACATTGCTTTGTTTTTGATTCATTGAATAAAATAGAGTCAAATCACTCCCAAAACATGCACTGCACACACTTTGTAAATCTGTGTGTGAGAATATGTCTTGTATTATAATGTAGACTATATACTTTCTTACTTGCAGATTGTGAGGGTTTTTTGTTTTGTTTTGTTTGTTTGTTTATTCTTAAGTCAATAAATTGCTCCTTCAGAATGGTTGTGGCTTAGCCTGTTTATGGAAAAGTCAGCCTAACTTCTTATGTTTTATTTGTCAGGTTTAGGGAGACAGAGGAAGTCCTTGGGTTTAATGAGCACCGGTTAAGGAGAATGCAGGGCATTTCATAGTTCCAGGAGGTACTATGCAACCTGGTGTTACCATGTGTTATAATCAGAGGTGATGATCACTTATGTTTTAACGCTAACATTGCTGTACACTTACTATTTGCCAGCAGATGTCTAAGAACTTTACATCTACTCATTAATTTAATCCTGTAAATAGAGAGAAGGGAAAGAAAGCATAGAAGGAAACCATGCCAGAGTTCAACTACCAGGATGCACATAGACAAGCTGAAACCCATGTGAGGAACTTCAAAAGCCCCCCGCCCCACATTCTGTTGTTTAAGAAGAATGTTCTTGGGCCAGGCATGGTGGCACATACTTTTAATGTGACACTTGAGAGGCAGAGAGAGGTGGACTTTGGTGAGTTGAAGGCCAGCCTGGTTTACATAGTGAGCTCCAGGACAGCCAGAACTACATAGATTCTGTCTCAAAAAAAGAGAGAGAGAGAGAGAGAGAGAGAGAGAGAGAGAGAGAGAGAAGATTGAAATTCTATTCTATTCAATGGATGTGGGGGGTTGTATCAAAACTACAATCTGTAATTATATTTCATCATAAAATTATAAACACAAAAATTATAATAAAAATGTCTCAGGATCTCAGTCAACTAGAATAGACCATTTGGCATCATTTGTATTTAGAAGAATAGATTATATGTAAACATACCAACAAGGATTCCAGTCACCATGTAAAGTAACTCAGACCCAGGTACTCAGTGATGACAGAGTATCACATGGAAAGGGAGGAGGAAACAAATCTCCAAGCCATACTAATGGTCCACACTGAGGCAATGGTGTGGGTTTGGGTTGGGATGGTATTCCTAGAAGCATGTGTTGAAGTCTTGGTTGGCAGCCTGTGGTACTGCTGTAAGATGTTGGTACCTGTAAGAAGTAAGGCGTCAGTGAGAAAATTAGGTTACTAGGGGTAGATTCTTAATTGGGACATTGGAACTCAGAGACTTCTTTTCTCTTGTTTGCTTCACTAACAATGTGAAATGGGCAGTTTCACACATGGTGTTTGAGTTTATAATTCAACATAAACATATTTGTATATTTTACAGTAATTCTACTAGCCAGCTCCTGCCATGAGGTCCTGCCATAAGGTGACAGGCCCAAAAGCAACAATTCTACCAACATGGATGCCAGCATCTGAAATGCTGAGCTAAAAGAAATCACTCTTCCTTTATGTTGATAATCTCAGGAATTTTGTCCACTGACAGAAAGCTAAGACAACCCCAGCTGTGCTCTGAGGTAAATGAATCTCCAATGTGACGCTAGACGGTGCCAATAGACCGACCCAGGTGAAACAACCCACGGCATCTTGACACAACACAAGCTTGTTTTGTTAAGTTCTGACGTAGTTTTTAAGACAGCAGTCAATAATGTAGCCATAATCAGGCTTATTGAGGGGTGAGAGCTATCTGGTGATAGGAGTAGGATTACTTTAAAACATAAAAATATGCTTACATGGAATTACACACTCAAACTGAGAGACAACCAGAAACTCATTGTGCTTTAAAAGAAAGTGAGGAGGCACAGCAGATTAATGAGAAATACAGAGGACAAGTGGCAAGCTTTATATCTACTTGATTTAAAAACAAAACAAAACAAAACAAAAACCAAAAAACTATGATTCAGAACGTCTACAACAAGGTGCACTCAGAATTTCTAGCTCCGTCCTTACTCATAAGAACACAATAATTAAACTAGGTGGTAGTGGCACATGCCTTTAGTCTCAGCACTTGTGAGGCAGAGGAAGGGATAAACTCTGTGAGTTCAAGGCCAGCCTGGTCTACAGAATTCCAGGACAGCTAGAGCTACACAGAGAAACCCTACCTCAAAAATCCAAACTAAAAAAATAAATCAATAAATAAAAACACAATAATTATAAAGAAGTTGACCTTTTTCACAACACTGTATTTTGGTAAGTCCACAAATTAAATGGTTTAATTTGCTATGGTGTATATATAAAACACAACATAATCATTTGCACAAAATGCATTCTTAAGTTTTCAGTCTATTACCATTTTTCTATTAACATAAAAGAAAATTCAAAATACTATAAAATTTTGGTTGTTTATATGATATTGCTTACATTTGCTTCTAGAAGTATCTTTCAGTGTGTGGGGGGGAAAAAGCATTTTTGTCTAAGTTATAAGGTGATAGAGTATATAAGAGTGACCTACATCTTGAAAATGTATTCAAGTAGAGACTACGAAGTAAATTGCCTGCCCTTGAAATTAAATGCACATGTATATTACAATTATTAAGATTATTAATGGATCCCTCAAAATTGCCTTGTTCTTCTGTCTCATATTACCTTCTATAAAATTTTCTGACTTGATGTCATAATTTTAGAATGCTTTCTAAAAGATTTATATGGCAATGTTAAGTCTGCAGTGCTGAAAGGGGATGCAAAAATCATGGGTAATTAAACATGTGGAGAAACACAGACCCACATATGTGTGCACGCAGATATACAGGTGAACACATGTGTACATATACATATACACAGATACTTTTACATGTATAATATGCTCATCTTCTATAAGGTACTTTAAAATTTTGCATTTGTCGGGGGCTGGAGAGATGTCTCAGCAGTTAGAATACTTGTTGCTGTTGCAGAAGACCTGGGTTCAGTTCCCAGCACCCATATGGTGGCTCACAACCATCCATAACTCCAGGTCCAGGGGCTAGGACCCCCTCTTTTAACCTCTGAGGGTACCAGGCATACATGTGGTATACACATATACATGCAAAATACACAAAAATAAAATAAATACACATAAAAATATTTTAATTTATATTTGTCATATTTTTAAAGCAAATACCTTAAGTATTTTCACTGCTGTGGAGCAGATGGGAAAATGTGACTATACCTTTGACATTCATGTAACTCTAAGTAAACACAATTAGATAAGCCTCAAGTTATATAAAAAACACTCTATCCATATTCAATA